ATTACCCGAGCCTCTTCCTCGATCAAGATCCATGCAATTTTTTCTTATTAAAATATTCTGTGGATATTACTCGGACTCACCCGGGTTCGACCACAAGGACACGGGCTCAAGCACCAAGTAAATCAAAACCCAAACCCAACCTATTAAACATTGCTTTCGGAGATGGAAATTCCCTAATGTTTCCACATTAATCTCATCCTTCAACTATAGGTATAGATGGTCCTTCACGATGAGCACACACTATTTTTCCCTAGAAATTTATCCACTGCATTCATAGATATGTAGATCAAGAATTCGTGTAGCTGACCCCAATTAATTAGAAAAAGACTATGATGATGAAGAATAGATATGGGGACTCATGTCCACATTAAAAGCATTGGCCCTTAATAAAACAAAATGACATATCAAAATTCGTATAGCTAACTCTAATTAATTAAAAAAGTGCTATAATGATAATGATTCATATATTTGAAACCAGTAAGGGGAAAGTATTCAACCTTGAAAGGCATTCTCCGTTAACTGGACCACCCCAACTGTTTCTTCTTGAAGTAAGTCCTGAAGGCGCTAGCAAACCGTAGAAAACTCAAGTACTTGCACTATTATTGGTGCTGAACAATTTCGATTTCGGTCAAAGTTAGATTGACTCGATTTCAATTTGGCCAAAGTTTAGCTGACTCGGACGGATAAATCAACCTAGAAAACTCACATTAACAGTCTGAAAACCACATTATCTATAGTGTATCTCGAAAACAATCAAACTTGAAAAAAATTGGGCAACTTTCCCACTTCTTGTGAAGAGTTTAAGAAATAACAGAGTGCCCCTAATGGGATTTGAACGCCCCTGGTCACCAAGCCAATGTACATTTCACCACAGAAGCACTCCCCTTAAAGTGTCAGAATAACACCAAATGTCATTAATAGTGAATTTCAACCACTTTCAGATTTAATTTAATTCTGTTTTGGTAGTCGTAGTCATATAGAAACCATCCATGATAGATTTTCCTAAGAAGTCAATGATCCTATATCAGATAATTATATTGGTTTTTAACCTAAGTGTTTCTCTATCAAATTCCAATTCAGCTAGAGAATTACAATATTGATATATTTAATTTGGATTATATATTATAAGACAAGGAAGTCACAAACACTCTCTAGCAAAGTCGGAAAGCCAATGTGACACAATTTACAAAGTATTTTCATAGACTTTAGGTTCAACGTGAGCACCCCGACCACCCAACTTCAATTCTAAACTTCAATTCTAATGGCCAAGGATGATTTTGAAATCATTATATAATTAGTGAATTGTCTAATCATTTATACATCTATCAAATATAGGGAAAAAAAAACAAAATCAACTACTTATACTACCAAACCTTTGGTTATGACTCAAATCGTGCACAGGGATAACGGATTGATTTGAAAGGAAAAATAATTTGAAAAGCTGGGACTTTATGTAGGTATACCTTACAAAAACTTGAAATTATAATTCCTTACATACACTTGTAAATACAATTCCAATATTAGAAATACTTGAAAACCAAGCATCACCACCGCAATGATTACACACATTTAAAAATATCGATTTCAAGTCGTAAAAATGATCCATCTTGCAACACTTTTTTTAGACATCCCTTCATATGCTTCAAATTCAACAAACAACAACAAATAGATCAGCGAATGGACACAGTTTTCAGACATCAGATACGGTTTTAGGGTTTGACGTGCAACCTAACTAAATACCATAAAGCTGCAGCCGTTCCAAAATCCGTCCAATTTATAAAGAAATAATTTGCACTATTGCATAATTCTCAAGATGAAATAAACATCATAATTCAAGTATTTTAGATCATTAAAAAACGTGGCATAAACCACCAAGACTAATTTTGTTTCATGTAAAATTCAGCCATTAATCATGGAAAGGCAACAATAATTTTTAGCTCAGAATTGCAGCATTGACCATCAAACCATATTCTTGTCACAATAAGAGGACCGTTCCTGAAAACATGAAGGTCAGGTCTTCCTCTCTCTCTCTC